AAGAGTTGGACACAACTGAGCGACTAAGCACATAACAACATTTGAAGGGCGTGGGTGCTATGCTAACCTGAATCTTAATTTCAGCTTAAGAGCTGACTTTTCCAAGGCAGATGCTAAACACTGAGGATTTCCTTAGAGAGATGATCTTTTCCCTAATGAGTCCAATTTCAAATTCTCATAGGTTCTAATTCTAGAGCATATACCTACGACAGAGCTCAACTACCATATTTACTGTACATAAAATGTTGTTCTAAAGTAATTTTCTGGGTGAAATCATCTCTGTGTAAGTCAACAATCTGCCAAAGCTATATTTTAAATTATTATCCTATAGATTCCCTACACGCCAAACCAAACATTTATGAAATCACTGTCCCATATATCTGTCTGTCAGTAAATCCAAACAGGCCCTTAGGAAGGTCTCCAAACTCCCACTGCAGGGGGCCTGTGAATCTAAAACACAATAAGGATTGACAACAGGCTTCTCAAATGTCAATGGAGTGCTATTTTCAATGTTTATGTATTGTTGCAATGATAAGGTAAGACTGGAGTGTCCTGTTTATGTAATTTTTTCTTTCAAAGTCTATGTATTTTCACCTGAAAAAGAGATCATTTTTGGTTTGAGAAAAGTCAAGAACCACATAGCTATGCAGCTTTAATTAGACTATCTTTTTTTAAAAAAGACATCTATTTTAAAATTTTTATTTATTTATTTTTTTGGTTGCACTATGAAGCATTTGAGATCTTAGCTCCCCAACCAGGGATTGAACCCATGCCCCTGGAAATGAAAGTGCAGAGTCTTCACCACTGGACCACCAGGGAAGTCCCAATCAGATTATCTTATGTCACCATTTCTGCTACTTTCATCTCAAGCTACTGTTTGCTTTTGCTATTCCAAGTACGGTAGAGTATTTATGAAGGTGAGGAGAAAAGCCTTAGCACCTATATGGAAATAAAGGCCACTGTAAATAAATTCTTTACACCTTAGTACTTTACACCTGCTGGTACTTACCTTTAACAAAGTTCTTAGACTATAAAGAGAGATAACGCACTGACATGGATTTAATCTTGAACTTTGCAAGTATAAATTTTATTTTATGGCTAACCTTTTCATTATAGTGAATCAAAAACTGTGAATGTTATCAGCTAAATTTCTCAATGGGTGGTAATAGGAATTGCTATCCACCTCTCTGCTGATCTAAAGCCCTAAAATATGATGATGATATCTTTATTTTTTTAGCATTAAATCCACAGGATATAAAACTCTTCCACAAAGCACGCTGAATTTCTCCCTTCAAAACACATATTACCCTGTAATGGCCTGTGTGCACCTATTTTCCTCACAAGATATAAAGTTCCACAAGGCCAAGACGACTGTGTCTTATTCACCATTAAACAACACAGCACCTTCTTTGCCCAGGGTCTCAACTGTACGTGCTAAAATACTTGTTAAATGAGTAACTGCCACATGAGATGCTTAAATCATAAAGAGAAGGGAAGAAAAAGCTTTCCTGAGTATTTATATAGCATGCTTTATGTTTCCCTTAAATGATCCTTTTGGGAACTAAGTTTATCCATTTTATCTCTGATGAGCTGCAAATTAAGCTTTGAGTGACTGCATGACCTCAAATCAGTAAGTAATCGCAGAGCACCATGTGCAACGCACTAGGCTAAGTGCCGTGGGGAACCACAGTATATCACACAGTCCTTCTAAGAGCTTTCTGTGTAACTGAACTAGTAGTAGAAAGGTGACAGGTTAGATAGAGCATGAAGAGTTTTTTCTTTAAGCTTAAGAGAAGTTACAATATGAGGAAATTAGTGAGTAGGGGTTGATGCAGGCAGAAAAGACAACAGGAGGGAAAAGGGGCCGAGCCCCAGGTGTGACAGACAAAGCACTAACATTTGCTTTTGATTACCTTCAACCTCTGGCACTTGTTCTCCTAGTTCTCTCAGTACCCAGCTTACTCCTGGGTGACCTGGAAGCTAACCTCCTCTGGAGAACCCAATGACCTGAACCATCTCCCGCAGTCTCCACCCTGCCCCCTGAACGCTCTACCTTCACTGAGACCAAACTCAAATATGAGACCAAACTCAAATCTGGTTCAGTTTGCCCCTAAACTCTAGCAGAGAGCTGGCCCCACGAGCCCTTGCTCTGCAATTTATAAAGAACCTGTGATACTCACCGCCACTGCTACAAGAAGAAGGGTCCACAGCCAGCACAGATAATTTGTGTCCTCTCTCAGTGAGCATTTTTCCAAAATATTCTATGAAGGTTGATTTTCCAGCACCAGGAGGCCCAGACAACCCTACGGTGGAGAGTTTCTAATTTAATGAAATAAATGAAATCAGCACAATAAGTTTTATTAGACTAAAATATTAGGCTACCTTCTATTTCTCCTTATTAAAACCACCATTAATTCAGTTTAACATTTCCTAAAGCAGTAGACGAAAATCTACCTATTTATCTACTCCCTGAGTAATAGGGATACACAGAGGAAATGATTCTGAGTTCCATATGTTCACCAGACTCACTTGTAAAAATTACTAAATGTGATTTGCTTTTTTACTATAATGTAGATCTTTGGGGGCCGATTTCATTTCCTATGCTGTTACTGCGCTCAATTTCTACAATATCTGCCCACCTCTCACCATGATCAAGAATTATTCCACCCACCCCAATGCCATGTTCCCATTTGAAAAATAACTCTCTACTCCAGAAATTCCCAGTAACTGAGAAACTCTCTATTTATGAAAGATAATTTTTTCATCTCACCCATAACTCAAAGAGATAATATAAACTGAATCCTGGGGGGAAAATTATATTAAGACAGAAATTCCCCTATTTGGAGGGTACATAGAGCATGGAAGGTGAAAACACAAACTGCAGTCAGTTGGCCAGTTCTGTTTCTAGCCCTGCCTCTTATGAGATGTGTAATCTCAGGCAAGTCATTTAATCATTTTGTATGCTGAGTATACTCCGCCATAAAATGGATATAAGAGCACCTTCAGGTTATTGTGAGGATTAGATGAGTTAATTTTGCATATGTTTAGAACAGCACATGGTGTTGAGAGATATAAAACTGTGTTCAATAAAGTCTATAAAACATAAGCACTTAATTGTAACTACACTCAAAAGTATGTATGCCATATGGTATGCTTGGCTCCGTACCATAATTTTCAGGGCAGGTCTCTGTCTTAATGGGTGCTGAATAAACATTTGCTGCTTTAATTTATGCTGGTGATAAAACAACTGCAACAAAGACCCAGGTTTACTTGGCCTCATAAGATCAAGATGGAAGAACCAGAAGAGTGCTGTAAATTTCCATGAAATTAAAACAGACGCTTGTTCCTTGGAAGAAAAGCTATAACAAGCCCAAACAGTGTATTAAAAAGCAGAGACATTACTTTGCCAACAAAGGTTCAGGTAGAAGAACTGATGCTTTCAAATTGTGGAGCTGGAGAAGACTCTTGAGAGTCCCTTGGACAGCAAGATCAAACCAGACAATCCTAGAGGAAATCAACCCTCAATATTCATTGGAGGGACTGATGCTGAAGCTGAAATTCCAATACTCTGGCAACCTGATGCAGAGCCAACTCATCAGAAAAGACCCTGATACTTGGAAAGATTGAGGGCAGGAGGAGAAAGGGGATGACAGAGGATGAGATGGTTGGATGGCATCACCGATCCAATGGACATGAGTTTGAGCAAACTCCAGGAGATAGTGAAGGACAGGGAAGCCTGGCGTGCTACAGTCCATGGGGTTGCAGAGAGTCAGACACAACTGAGCGACTGAGCAACAGTGACGTGTGAGCTGCTCATTAACTCGAGGTATTTCTGGACATTTTCTCTTCAAAGATTCTCTATAGCCAATAAGTAAACACTTGATCATAACTGGAATTTCTCTATGGGAGTTGGCTATTTTATCTGTCTACAGTACATAATGATTATTAACGTCCAGTGTAGTTCCTTCAAAAAGAGACACCTCTCAGTGAGGGCAGAAAAATAAGATGTAGGAAAAATGTGGACTAGTACAAACAGCAGTTGGTGAGCTCTTTTTGAAATTATCTTTAAAGTATTCAGGCCCCATTACCCCCAAAATCTAGGAGGTTTTAGGCTCTATACTGCAAATAAACTGAGATATGAGTATAATGTAATGCCAATCCATTCTTAAGTACATTTACTCACTCCTCAAAAACGTTCTGCACTTTGTCCACCACTTCTAGTTGTTTCAAGTGGGAGAGCTGGTTGGAATCACTTAGTCTGCCTTCATGAAAAGCACTCATCATACCCAAAACTGATCTGCTTAATTCCTTCTGGTCAAACACATCTACATCGCTCTAGAATCTATAATTTGGAAAATATAACAAGCTTATTTGCAATTACATAAACAGGTCAACTGTTCACGAAGTCAAGTGAACATTTTAGACAGTATATGAACACGGAGTCTCCTTTAAAATACATTTGGGTATTGAGATGACTATGCTTAGAGCCAAGCCATTTCCAAACTCTTAATATAAAAGTATCTGACAGAAGTGAAATTTGCCTAGAGAAAGACTAATGAAACACCTAAAGCAGAATTTTGAAATGGGATAAGGATAATTATGGTCGATATAACCACAAAGAATTCACTTTAGACTATTAAGCAGAAATTCTGCTGAGAGAAGGGAGGAAACCAGTGAACACTTCTTCCTTCACCTGTTTCTACTCTGGAAGTCACGACAAAGAAAGTGTTAGTCGCTCAGTTGTGTCCAACTCTTTGAGACCCCATAGACCACAGCCCTCGGGGCTCCTCTGTCCGTGGATTCTCCAGGCAAGAATACTGGAGTGGACTGCCATTCCCTTCTCCAGAGAATCTTCCCAACCCAAGGATCGAACCTGGGTCTCCCGCATTGCAGGCAGATGCTTTACCATCTAGCCACTAGGGAAGTTCACAGCAAGGTCTCTGCCAAAATAGAAATCTCATATTATTCTCTTAAAATACAGAGCCTTGGTTCAAATGGTCATGGCATTTCCCCTACACACCAACATAACAAGACTAGTATTTGCAAAGAAAAGGCCTCTAAAATTCATTCCAAACTTCTGCAAGAAAAAAAAAAAATCCCCTTTAAATCATAAGCTATTTAGACTTACTTTAAAAGAAGAGAGAGAATTTTGAAAAATATGTNATGGCATTTCCCCTACACACCAACATAACAAGACTAGTATTTGCAAAGAAAAGGCCTCTAAAATTCATTCCAAACTTCTGCAAGAAAAAAAAAAAATCCCCTTTAAATCATAAGCTATTTAGACTTACTTTAAAAGAAGAGAGAGAATTTTGAAAAATATGTACTGAAAAATAAAAAAAAAGACTGACCTACTCGAAATGCTAGTGGTTTTCCTTTATTTAATTTTTCTTGTTCTCTGTGGTGGGCTAATACTTTCTGAAGAAGCACCTGCGCTAACTCCTTTTTCCTGCTGTGTGTTGATTCTACAAGAGTTATGGCCTCCGCTAAACAGGCCCTTTGGCCTTGGATTAAACCAGCATAGAGCTTATCCACAAGTCTTTGCTCTTTATCAGAAAGCCCTTCTGTGTGTCCCTCTAAGGCTGTTTGCAGACAGAACTTTCTCGGTAAACCATTCGATGGCAGCATCCACTCTGCACAATGGAGTCCAGGAGCGCTGCGCGGCTGAGCACGTGGAACTCCGGAGCTGAGGTGAGGGCTTGGGTGAAAGACGAAGCGGTAACGTCGGAAAGGTGTTCTCAACAGGCCTTTCAGGAAGTACTGGTGAGGACACTGGAGCAGCATGGGAATATTCATTGTAATGCAAGAAAACGCTGGATGTTTTTTGGTTCAATGTGATTTGTGACTCCCTAAGAGAGAAAAAAAAAAACATATTTCGCCAGTTCAACATCCAACTAAGATATTAAAGTGGTGAAGCGGCAAGCATAGTGTCCTCCCTAGATTCCGAAACACAGAGAATCAGGGATTTTGATAGTACAAAGGCATAAAAGTTTCTTTCCCAACTTAAAAGCAAAGACTCCCACCTTGTCCAGAGTTAATATTCAGAGTAACCCAAACCATGAAACTGTTGCTCTGCTGTGAAGTGCACAGCACATTAAAATTTTCTTTTAAACAAAAACCAAACTGACCCCCTCCCACCAAAATACCCCACAATCCATTAGGATAGAAACTTTATATAATGGTTATTTCCTTCTGTCTACAAACCCTTTATTTATCATAACAATTTCCTCAGATTAAATATACCCTATTTGGAAACTCATTCAATAGGTTAAATAAAAAAAAAAAAATCCCTCTTTTATTCATCTCCACAAAATGAAAGTGCCTAGTAATACAGGCATTGAGGCATAAGTTTAGATCCATGTACGTATTTGATGGGCCTCCCTGATAGCTCAGCTGGTAAAGAATCCACCTGCAAGGCAGGAGACCCCGGTTGGATTCCTGGGTTGGGAAGATCCCTTGAAGAAGGGATAGGCTACCCACTCCAGTATTGGGGCTTCCCTGATGGCTGAGATGATAAAGGATCCACCTACAATGCAGGAGACATGGATTCAACCACTGGGTTGGGAAGATCCCCTGGAGGAGGGCATGGCAAATCCACTCCATGGATTTGGAGAATCCCATGGACAGAGGAGCCTGGTGGGCTACAGTCCACGGGGTTGCAAAGAGTCGGACACGACTGAGCGCAGCACAGCACGCATTCAACAGACTCGCCCGGAACACACGCCAAGATGGTCTAACATCCCACACAAACCACTGCTGGCGATGAACTGAGGGCTCTCTGGAACCTGACCCAGTGTCTCTCGAAGTACGGAAAGAAGCACTTGGGCACTTATTAAAACTACACACCCCAGCCCCAAGAATCAGAATCTCTGTGGGTAAGCACACTCAAGTCTGAACAACTATGGAAGAGAACAAGGGTGTTTTACTTAGATTTACTGATATTCTGCTTCAGACTGTATTAGACAATGAAGGCTCACAGGGTCCACTGGGAGTCAGGACAGTGCAGAGGTTATGGGCCGTGGCCACTCGGCATCTCTGCCACTTAAGCAATAATGACCCTGGGCAAGTTACTTAACCACTCTGTGCCTCAGCTTCCTCTTGAGTTAAAACAACAGAACAAGGACTAGGAAAGCTGTGAGAATAAAATCAGTTAATTCATATAAACAGGTGGGGACAGTGCCTAGCACAGAGTAAGAGCTTAATAAACTTTATTAGCTTAATAAACTTAATAAGCTTTTATTATTGAGATGCCAATTTATAAAACTTTGGTAAAAATTATGTCAGGCAAATGACATATAATACTTAAGTCTTCATTCATGATTATTTGAAATTTTTGGTTTTCAAATACCATGTAGCACAATGAAATAAATTACTTTATTGCTCTAAAGTACCTCTCTAAATTATATTCCAAGGCCAGCAGAAAATTAATTTTAACTAAATAGCAGTTTCAGTAGCAGAAAAAAGAAACATTAAAAAAATTTTTATTGTTAGAGCTGCTCATCATTTTTCTATTAGTCTTATTCTAAAAGGACAATTTAAAATGTGTAAAAATGTATCCAAAAGACAATTTCAAAACATCCACTACTACCCTTTGCAGAAATATACAAAGAGACATTTAAAACAAAAAAAAGTTAAGAGGGGTTCTATTTTGGAAGTTCTCTTCGAGACCACGTTAAACACACTTCCCATCCACACCACTGTCACTACCACCAAACTGGACCTGCACAGGCAAGGCCATTTTCTGAGCAGTTCTACCTTCCATGTCCCAGGCCAGCTTACAAGAGTAACAGTGATGATAATGTTTTTGATGGTGATGACAATGAAATTTTATTATGTTCCAGTCACTGTACTATAAACTTCTATATTAGCACCCTAAGGATGCTGTAACAAATTACCACAAACTTGGTGGATTAAAACCACAGAAACCTATCATCTCATGGTTCTGGAGGTGGAAAGTCAGAAATCAAGATGTTAGGAGGACGTCGCTCCCTCTGAAGACTCTAGATGGGGACTCTTCCCTGCTCCTCCCAGCTTCTTGGGCACCAGGGGCTCCTCAGCTCACAGTTACAAGACTCCAATATCCGCCTCCTTCTTCACATGGCCTACTCTTTGTGTCTCTCTTCTGTGTGGGGATCTGTCACTGAACTGGGCCCATTTAGGTAATCCAAGATGGTCTCATCCCAAGGTCTTTAACTTAATTACATCTGCAAAGATCCTTTTTCCAAAAAGAATCACATTCTCCAGTTCCAGGGATTGGGACGTGGACAAATCTTTTTGGAGGCCACCATTCAATCCACTACACCTCCTTTGGTGGACTACCTCATTATCTTACCCTAAATGGTCTAAACCCAGCACTTCAACAGCTCATAGAATGATAAACACTGTGTTTGGAGAAAGAACAGTGCACCGTGAGAATAGACAAGGTCATGGAAAAGAACTTTCCTGGGGCAGAGAAGGTTCAAAGTCACCGAGGAGTCAACGCCAGGGCTGGGTCTGAAAGGTTAAAGAAAGCTGCAGGATGAGGCAGGTCTTCCAGGCTGAGGATGTATTTGTACAGAGGCTGAGTTTGGTCTCTACCATATCAGAGAAGGCGGAGGAACTCAAAGAAGCAGACACTGGACATACATATTGGGCTGGGCAAGAAGTTTGTTTGGGTTTTTCAAGCTGTTATGGGAAGACATGAATGACCTTCTCGGCCAACCCAATATGCGGAACTAGCGGTTGAAGATGAGACCAGATCAGGATGGAAATTGAGACCCAGGAAGTAGATTTTGTCTTGTTGGTGGAGAAGAAACTACAGAAGAGATCTTTGGGGAGACAAGTGACCTAATCAACTTTGGTTTTTAGGAGATAACACTAGCAACAGTGGAGAGAAGTCAAGAGTGATCAGACCCTGGTAACATATAGCCTACCTAGCAAAGACCCAAAAGAGAGGATGGGGACCTGGACCAAGACAAGGCATTAAGGGGTGGAAAAGAGAAGCCAGATTCAAGACCTTCTTTCCATGTTAGTGCTGCCCTCAACATGCCAGCAAATCTGGAAAACTCAGCAATGGCCACAGGGCTGGGAAAGGTCAGTTTTCATTCCAATCACAAAGAAAGGCAATGCCAAAGAATGCTCCAACTACTGCACAATTGCACTCATCTCACACGCTAGTAAAGTAATGCTCAAAATTCTCCAAGCCAGGCTTCAGAAATACATGAGCCATGAACTTCTAGATGTTCAAGCTGGATTTAGAAAAGGCAGAGGAACCAGAGATCAAATTGCCAACATCTGTTGGATCATCGAAAAATCAAGAGTTCCAGAAAAATGTCTATTTATGCTTTATGACTATGCCAAAACCTTTGACTGTGTGGATCACAATAAACTGTGGAATATTCTGAAATTGATGGGAATACCTTCCCTGCCTCTTGAGAAATCTGTATGCAGGTCAGGAAGCAACAGTTATAACTGGACATGGAACAACAGACTGGTTCCAAATATGATAAGTAGTACATCAAGACTGTATATTGTCACCCTGCTTATTTAACTTATATGCAGAGTNATGGACAGGGAGGCCTGGCGTGCTGCATTCCATGGGGTTGCAGAGTCTGACACGACTGAGCAACTGAACTGAACTTCCGTGTTAGGAGCCTCAAAGCTTGCCATGGAGTCTGACACACTGCAATTATTCTAAAGAATGCTAATCTGATCTTATTTCAGTTTCCACCTGCCTGTCACTCAAGAGTGTATGAACCATTTTCGCATACTTTATTTCACTTTATTCTCCCAGACAATTCCATGAAGACAATTGGATAGTTATTCTCATTTAACAAGAGAAATCAAGAGTGAGATAGCTGACTACAGTTATAGCCAGTGGACTCAAACCCAGGTTTTTGACTCTCTGTGGCATTTTTTTCTCCATAAATTGTTTGAGAATAAAGGAGCTCCTTTGGAAAATAGATATTAGTAACTCTGTGCCTCCCAAAGTGGTAAGAAGCATTTTCAGTGTACAGTGATGGGGTAGCATTAGGAGGAGCCAAAGAACAAGTTACATTTAAAATATTTAATTAACTTAATTTTTTAATCTTTTAAATTAATTCTTTAGTTAATTCTTACCATGACAATCTCTTAGCCAGCAAAGCTATGCTCTTCAAAAAGAGCAAAGTAATGTAAAGAGAAAGAGAAAGAAACAAGATCATAAAGCATTCATCCAACAAGTACCTGATCATCTGCTATGTGTCATGCAGTAGTTTAGCACTGGGGATGCAACAGTGATCTGACAGAACAGTAGTTCTTGCCCCCATGAAGCTAACATCCCAGTAAGGGAAACACACAACAGGCTACGAATAAGAAGGTCAGTTGGCCAGAGGTGAATGAACAAGAAAGAAAGTGTAAGGGAGAAGGCCAAAGACGGGGTCATAAAGATGAATGGAAGGAATTCGACTTTGCCTGAGAGGGGAAGTCAAGGGACAGAGGAGAACCCAATCTGACTTCCCCTCAGACCAAAGGGATCTGATACAGATGCAAGAACAGAAAGGAGAAGAGCAGCTAAGAAACTACTGCAAAAATGCAGATGAGGTAACAGTGACCTCGACCAGGTAGGCTGCAGTTAGATTCTGGATGGATTCTGGAGGACCTGGTAACACATGGGACATGGATGGGAGATAAAGAGAACACGCAAGGATGAGGTATCTTGTGACAACATCCACTGATCACAGAAAAAGCAAAGGAATTCCAGAAAAACGTCTCCTTCTGCTTCACTGAGTAAGCTAAAGCCTTCGACTGTCAGGATCACAACCAACTGTGGAAAATTCTTAAAAGAGATGGGAATACCAGACCACCTGACCTGCCTCCTGAGAAACCCGTATGCAGGTCAGGAAGCAACAGTTAGAACCGGACATGGGACAACAGACTGGCTCCAAACTGGGAAAGGAGCACGTCAAGGCTGCATGTTGTCACCCTGCTTGTTTAACTTCTATGCAGAGTTGGTGGTTGTGCTTTAGTCGCCAAGTCATGTCTGACTCTTGCGACCCCAGGGACTGTAGCCCGCCAGGCTCCTCTGTCCAGGGGACTCTCCAGGCAAGGATACTGGAATGGGTTGCCATTTCCTTCTCCAGGGGATCTTCCCAACCCAGGAATGGAAGCCGGTCTCCTGCACTTCAGGCAGATTCTTTACCAACTGAGCTATAAGGGAAGCCCCCGCTATGCAGAGTACATCATGCTAAATGCTGGGCTGGATGAATCAAAACCGGAATCAAGATTGCTGGGAGAAGTATCAACAACCTTAGAAATGCAGATAACACTTTAATGGCAGAAAGTGAAGAGGAACTAAACAGCCTCTTGATAAAGGTGAGAGAGGAGAGTGAAAAAGCTGGCTTAAAACTCAACATTCAGAAAACTAAGATCATGGAATCCAGTTCCATCACTTTATGGCAATTAGATGGGGAAACAATGCGAACAGTGACAGATTTAATTTTCTTGGGCTCCAAAATCACTGCGGATGGTGACTGCAGCCATGAAATTAAAAGACACTTGCTCCTCGGAAGAAAAGCTAGACAAACCTAGACAGAGTATTAAAAAGTAGAGACATCACTTTGCCAACAAAGGTCCGTCTAATTAAAGCTATGGTTTTTCCAGCAGTCATGTATGGATGTGAGAGTTGGATCATCAAGGGGGCTGAGCACCGAAGAATTAATGATTTTGAACTGTGATGCTGGAAAGGGCTCTTGAGAGTCCCTTGGACTGCAAGATCAAACCAGTCAATTCTAAAGGAAATCACCCCTGAATATTCATTGGAAGGACTGGTGCTGAAGCTGAAGCTCCAATTCTTGGCCACCTGATGCCAAGAGTTGACTCACTATGACTCTGATGCCGGGAAAGATTGAAGGCAGGAGGAGAAGGGGGCAACAGAGGATGACAAGGTTGGATGGCATCACTGACTCAGTGGACATGAGTTTGAGCAAACTCCAGGAGACAAGGAAGGACAGTGAAGGACAGGAAAGCCTGATGTTCATGGGGTGGCAAAGAGTCGGACACAGCTTGTGACTGAACAACAACAATAAATATCAATAGAATATAGATTTTTGCTCTAACATTTAGAATAGTGATTTCTTACAACAATTTATTTGTAGTTTTTCTCAGAAAATCCATGCCAGCTACCTGACAAGCTTATGGCTTATATTGTAGGATTTATCACAATTTGGGATTGTAAAGTTCCCTGCCCTTTCATGCCAACAGAAATCTGAAAAGGTCTTTAAATGAAAAGAAAGAGCCAGGAAGAGATAACATTTTACGTCGTTCATTCTTTGCCAAAACTAGAAAGCTATCCACGTGTATATAATTCCAGAATTTTATACTTTCAAATCTCTCCCCGAGGGCTAATTTTCTTGGTGCTTCCAAACCCTCTGGACCTTCTGAAAGGCAGAGCAGCAGCAGGAGCTACCTTTTACTGAACGTTGATGATGTGTGAGCTATTGAGCATGCATTCCCTCAGCTAAGCCTCAGAACAGCAGGCGAGAGTCCATTTCACAGGTGACGCTGGTAAGACAAGGCTGACTGACCAACGCCTCACAACTAGTGGCAGAATCTGGACAAACTACAGATTTCATTGAGCCAGGTCTACACAGTATCAACTCTAGATTCTTGTATAAAAAAGGAGTGGTGTCATGTCACATTAAGGGAACACCAAATAATCATATTTGGTTATGGCACAGGCTGTTTATCTTCGTGTTGTTCCTTTCTTTCTCTCTCTTTGGCTTAGGCCAAAAGGAAAACTTAATTTACATTTTCTGGGCAAACCTAATCAGTAGGAGATCCTAATAATGTATTAGGTGAAAGAATAGACCAAATTTCTAAAATTTTTTATGTTATATTGTTCTCACAGAATAATTCCACTTGATAACTAAATGCATGATATACTTAAACCCATTAAGTTCACAAAACCAACCGGATTTTAAAGTCCATAAACTTTTTAAAAGCCAATATAGACGATTTCCCTCTATATTGGTCCAGTGATTAAGAATCTGCCTGTCAATACAAGGGACATGGGTTCAACGAAACCTAGTCCAAAAGATTCCACATGCCTTGGAGCAAATAAAGCCCATATGCCATTACTACCAAAGCCTGCAAGCCACAGAGCCTGTGCTTTGCAACAAGAGAAGCCACCGCAACGAGAAGCCTGGGCACCACAATGACGAGTACCCCGTGCTCACTGCAACTAAAAAGCCCACACACAGCAATGAAGATGAAGTGCAATAAAAAAATAATAATACATAAATAAATCACAATAAGGGCTCTTGCTCACATTTTTCAAAAAGCACCAATATGACTCAGCCTTCTATGAGCACCTTTCTGCCTGTATGTACATGTCATAGGCAGAATAGACTAAGTCTACTAGAGTGGCAAAATCATGCAGACCCAGGTGGCTCAGGGGTAAAGAATCTGTCTGCCAATGCAGGAGACCTGGGTTCAATCCTGGTCTGGGAAGATCCACCGAAGAGGGAATGGCAACCCACCCCAGTATTCTTGCCTGGGAAATCCCATGGACAGAGAAGCCTGGCGAACTACAATCCACAGGGTTGCAGAACAGTCTGACACGACTTAGCAACTAAGCAAAAACAGGGAGAAGGACTTCTCACCTGCTCATGTATCTAAGCACCTTTTCCTGCTTTCTTATGGAAAGAAATCAAAGACCCTGGCCAATAATCAAACTGTTGGAATGAATTTTCACAATTCCTAAGAGTATGGTTTCATCCTACAATTTTATACTGAGCACCAGGAAAATAAAAGAAATTTTCTAGCACTTAGGTATCTTACACTCAGTAAGATACCTCAAAGCACCACTATTCCTAATAAACCAGAAAGTCTACTTATTAATATATAATGAAAGCACCAAGTAGGCAAAAATACTGAAAGAGGGGTTGGGTAAGTACATCCCCTCTCCTCCAAGAGGATTCACATGGACAGCAGAATTTTAAGGTGCGTGGTTTCACACTTGTTTTCCTCTAAATATCTTTTACATCCACTCCATTCTCTTACCATCATGCCCAGATTTCTCTATTATAATGGCTTTCAAACTCTAATAGAAGTTCAAAGAAAGAAACACACTTACGCCAGTCAATACACAGGCACATACTTGAAACAAGCTTCACAAAACACTTTTAAATCCTACTACATGTGCTATATGCTAATACTTTTCAAATTTTTCTTAAAATGAAGATTGTAATCTACCAATGGGCACAACCTATTATATCCATTGCTATGGCCAGTATTTTTAACAAACTTGTCTTTATGGAAATTTTTAAAATTTGGTCATCAAAAGACAATGTCAACAGAGTAGGAAGCAACCCACAGGATGGGAGAAAATACTTGCAAATCATATACCTGACATGAGATTAATATCCAGAATATATAAAGAACTTCTGAAACTCAACAACAGAAACAACCCAAATCGAAAATGTGCCAAGGGCTTGCTTGAACAGACAGTTCTCCAAGAAGATACACAAATGATCAATAAGCGCATGAAAACATATTCACCATCATCAATCATAAAGACAATGCAATTTAAAACTACAATGAGATACCACCCCACACCCATTAGAATGACTGCTAACTATGGCCATTATTAATTCATCTTCCATACTACCACTCATCCTCATAAAATGTAAAACTGACTATATACTCCACTTAAAATATTTTAAAATGCTTAAAATACTTTAAAAGTTCCTTGTGTATTACCTGTTAAATTTTTTTTCTCCTGTGATTTAGCCATTCATTCATTGAGCAACTATTTACGGAGAGTCTACCATATGCTAGGTGCTCTCTTAAGGCCTTAGCATACATTGGTATACGGATCCAACATGGCTCCTAACATGAAGTTTACAATCCAGCCCGGACAGTCATTAAATAAGTTTCATATTCTTTATGAGTGCTCTTATCCACCTCTCCAACTGAATTCATCCCCCTCCTCCACTCTTATCATATTGCTATAACTATCCTGATCTTCAAGAAGGTCCCAGAAAAATTCAGTCTTTTATACATTATGGCCATTGTCCTTGATGTCCATTCTAATTAAAATGCCTTAATCACCTCACAAATTCCTCCTCAGCCTTCAAGATTAACTTAAAAGGGTCTCCTCTAAAAACATTTCAGTGGCCTCCTTTCTACACTCCTTCAGTCACCATTTCTAACTCTTAAAATCAGCATTACAATGCTGATCACATCATTTTGTGACCATTTTTTAAAAAATGTCAGTCTTCCTAGACTGAGTTATCACTAGGATCCACAACATAGCTTATCAGTCACAGAATAAATGAATGAATGTAAGCTATAATTTTGTATGTATGACTCCATTATGTTGATTACTCAGTTGATTGATGTTTGAAAACTTACATTTTTCTAGATTTCACTGTATAAATATATTTTTAGGACTTCCTTCTTAAAGTCTGATTTCAATATATGGATGTTTTCCTTCATTAAAAATTTGTTCAGCAGCAGCCAGTCTGACTTGGAATATTTGTCTTGAAATTGATCCAATGAATATTCTTAATTTCAATAACTACTCTGGCAAGAAAAAGCAGAGAGGATTTCCAAAATCAATACATTAGGTCAGTCTGTGGCACAACAGTTCATACAGGCAAAGTGGTGTTACACCATGTGTTTCCATTTCTCCATGCTAATTACTTTTAATGTGAAGCTAGGCTATCAGATGCCATCAATCTGTTTACCATCTCCCACTACTCTCATGTAGGAGACCCAGGTTCGATCCCTGGGTTGGGAAGATTCCCTGGAGAAAGAAATGGCAACCCATCCCAGTATTCCTGCTTTAAGAATTCCATGGACAGAGGAGCCTGGAGGGCTCAGGCCACGGGACTGCAAGTTGGACATGACAGCGACTAAACCACCACCACCACCCCCATTGGAGGCTTTACTTTCTCCTTTTCAAATAATTTTCAGAAAATCTTGGTAAAACAGAATGGCTTTTTAAATAAGCAACTTTTAACTAGGTCATTGTCATAGAACAGTCATACAGAACATGCACTGAACTCATGCAGGGAATATTCTGAAAGTTCTCTGTCCACTTTACCTTTTATCACTCTTCCAGTTGGGACTGATTTCCCAACTTCTACTTTAAGGTTTCAATCTTCTGGGGAAGTCTCGATTTTTCTAAATTCTATCACCAGCTGATGTTTTGATTCATTTCCACTGCTATTACCCTAGTTCAAATCTGAACTAGTCTTAAGGGGCTCTGAGACTAGCTATAGGACCTGGGCAATCTCTACTACTCTCCATATGAAAATATTAAGACTTACACATGAGAGTCAGACTATGAAATGAAATTGTGTGCATGAGAGGGCCTGGCACCAACAGGTGTTAACCAACTCTAAGGAATCGTCTTTTCTTCTCTCTTTCCTCCCTTCCCCAATCCTCCATCTTGGATGACACAGCAAGACTTATAGTGAACCATGAATGTGATCTCCTTACTAATCCACTTCAAATTCCTCCAATAGCTTCCCCCATGCGAGGACAGTAGTTCTCAGTGTGGTCCCCAAACCAGCAGCAACTCCAGCAACTGAGAATGGATAAGAGCGAAATTCTCAAGCCCGGCCCCAGAACTTCTGAAGCAAGAACTCTGGAGGTGGGGGCCATGCCTGCCACTCTCTCACAAACCTGCCAGGTGATTATGATGTAAGCTCAAATTTGAGAACCCAGTGCCTGAGGATAAAGTCTAGTCTGGTATTGAAGGGTCTCCCAAACTAGTTTTCCTCCATTTACCATACTTGCCTTCTCAGACTTCTACTAAGAGTTTACTTAGGATCTTCCAAACCTCCTATTCACTTTCCCAAGTGAGATTTTACTCACTGGTTACATTCTCTTTTCTTTCTTTATTTACTTAGCTGCTTCACATTGATTCTGCAGCATGCAGAATCTTTAGTTGTGAGATCTTAGTTCCCCCACCAAGGAACTGAACCCAGGGACCCCTACATTGGGAATGCAGAGTCCTAGCCACTATACCAACAGGGAAGTCTTCACTGGTTACATTCTTCTCTTCCATGACGCCTCTCCTCAACCCAGCTTAAATCCCACTGTTTTCTTAAATCCCTTCCTGACAGTTTCCAGGAACTTTTTCCTCTTTTAATTCCAATTATTTCTGAGTACTCAGGTGATAATCTGCAGATGTCACAAACTGGCTGTTCCTGGCCCATAGAGGGTATGTGAGTGCATAACGAATTGGTTGCCAATAACAATAAAAATCAAGAAATATTACAAAGATAGATAGAGATTTTTGGCCTGTGATGGGGAAAGTCAGATCTGTGCATGAGGGACCCACATTCCCACATGGCAACAATCAGCGGAGGAGCAAATGTTTCCAGCACTCACCAGCTCTTTCCATGCCAAATATAGGTTTTTAGACATCTTCAAATATCTTAAACCATAACTTACATTTCTTATGCAACTTTTTATGTGTTTGTTTTTTGGCTCTCCTAATAGAATACAGCCCTTAAAAGAACTGAACTGTCCTGGCTTTCATTACCTTGAACACAAAACGATATGAGGTTTTCACTATACAAAAGAATATTCTGGACATTATAAACCCCCAAACAAGCAGAAATGTACACAGGCTTTTGGGAAACTCCTGATTTTCTACCAATTTGGAAAAGCTATAGTAGTGTTTGTTTTCCAAAGTATGTTAGGGCACAACTCTCAAGGTAATTAAAAATTTTCATGCCATTTTGGCTTAGACTGTCTTTCATAATAACAATTTGTATTTATCTTTCATAATGATAAACACAAATTACTTGAATACAGTCTGTCTGCTGGAAAAGATCTAGCCCACGCCCAGCACGGTATTTCACCGAAACTCGATGCTGTCTGTGACTTCCCATCTAAGCCCTATTTTTATTTACTGATTTTTATTCCGTTAAAGACGAGTTTTAACCTCCCTCTTGGGTAATTGCTACACTGAACTACAGTGCCTTTTTAGAGGCCACCGTCTGGTTAACCATTTGCCAGCGGCGAAGTAGGAGTCACTTTATAAAAACCGTCTTACACAACGGTAAAATCACAAGCTTGTCCAAAATAATGAAAAATTTAACACGCTGTTCACAGAGAATCTCCTTTTTCAGGAGAAAACCAACCAACCTCCCCTGTGAATCCATTTTGCCGACGCTTGCTCGTTCACACATTTCCCGCACCCCTATCATCATCGGACTCAACCTCAGTCTCCTCTTCCTTTCCCTTCCCCGAATTCTCCAGGGGGCGCCCCAGACGCAGAGCTGAGCCCCCGGCGGCCTGAGGCACGAGCCTGGCCCCAACCCGGACGCGGCGCGCAACCCCCGCCCCGTACTCACCCGCCCGCGGCCGTAAAAGTGCAGCGCCCTCCTGCCCCGCCCCTTCCGGCGGGCCGCTTCGCCCCGCCCCGCGCTCTCCCTCGCGCAGGCGCAGCGCCCACTGCCGGGTGTCTGGCCCCAGGGAACGACCCAAGGGCCGGGCGGCGGTGAGGGGCGTGGCCTGGGTCCCGGCGGGGGTGGCCGCGGGATTCCGGTGTGTGACGCTGGTCCAGGGAGCCTGAAGGCCTGGCGGCGTTCTCGAGGGTGGGGAGGTCCGCGGGGCGCCCCATGGGGCGCCGGACATCTGTCTGAGAAGTGCAGCAGAGAAGGGCGGTTGACGGTCCTTACGGATAGCTTTTGCCCTCCTGTAGGTTCACATAGGCTCCAAACTGCTGCTGCTAAGTCACTTCAGTCGTGTCCGACTCTGTGCGACCCCATAGACGGCAGCCCACCAGGCTCCCCTGTCCCTGGGATTCTCCAGGCAAGAACACTGGAGTGGGTT